CAAGACTCCCGTAGAAGTATTTTTGTTCCATATACATGCTTGCATGTTCTGTCAACAAGACAGCCTCCCAATAATGTCGATCGTCACCATCCTATTCTTCCCCTCCATATCTAATGCATCATACAATGTGCCCTCATCGTTGCTCAAAACGATGTTCCTCTTCCTCCCATATCAAGCGGGAGGGATGTTTACCTAGAATATAATGATAACCAAATCGTAGCTCGAATGGTGTTTATTGTCCAAACATACGTGCAACAGCACGCTTTGTGAGACTGTAGAGATTCCCAACGTTGGTTTTTAGACTGGCCTCCATGGAGATCGGTCCCTCGGGTTGTGTGAACCACATGGTGCGGTGTTCTGGAGTAGTGGGATCTTCGTCCCTCGAATCGAGTAGTCTCTTTCCTCCTCTTTCGAATATCCAAGTGAGCTGTGCGTTCCTGTTGGCGTGGTATAGCTGCGGGCATATCGTGGGCGGCCTTGTAATCGTCATCGTCTGATCCTTCTTGTTACTCTTCCTCTTGTTGTTTCTTGTAGTAGTTGCTGATATAGTAGTATCACGATATATTTTCGTCTGTGTTTTGCTCCGGCGCACGGTTCTCCCGCGGGCGACGATAATTCCCTTTTTGTAAGAAAAAAACCCATTAGACTTCCTGTGGACTGGTATAGTTGCTTCGTGGTGGCGCGTTGACCACCGCCTCGGCATCGCCCACCTGTTTCCGTTCCGATATCTCGCGGCTTCGGCCTTGTAGTCGTTTGCGAAGAACCCAAGGGGGAACCTGTAGGTTTTGTGCGCCGGCGCTATGTAATTGCTATTGCAGAGGTTCGGAGGATGATGAAAGGCGGTTCAGGTGAAGGTAGACATCGGTGCCGTATCTGTGAAAGAAATGTTAGTGACGGATTTGTTCATAATCAGAATAGGCGTGTTTGTTCAGGCGGGTTGGAAGTATGTTTGTCTGAGACTTACCCTTCCATACTGATGAGTTTCAAGTCACCGCCGAAGTAGCGCGCGTATAAACGTGAGATTGGTAGACCATATCCAAAACCAGCCATCGGGGCCTTGAAGTCGCTCTTATCGAAATCGGGATCTAAACTTGGTGTGCGATCGACAGTGGTGTACATGTAAGTCCAAACGAGAGGGATAGCGCTTCGAGGGATGCCACCGCCTTCGTCAGAGATCTTGATGGTGATATCTTCCTTGCCTTCGGCAACAATAACCTTTGTAACGGGGAAAGCTTGCTTCTCCATACCATGTGTTTCGACAACGGCGCGCAGAGAGTTCTTGAGTGTCTCGAAGAGCATGTGCGACAGATGACCGGGAACGTACATAAAGTTCAGGTTGGGGTTGCAGACGAGTTGGACCTTGGGAGCTTCGAAAAGACCATAGTGATCCTCACAGACAAATCGGGCGTTCTCAATGGCTTCCTGGGCGAGATCTTGGACATTGGTCTTGGTACAAATAATACCGACATAAGTGGGGTCGCGATGATGGCTCTGGTCTGTCAATGCGATGTGCTGGCCGATAAGCATGCGGATACCGATACGAGACATGTAGAAGCGGTCGAGGAAGGACTGGATAGTGCTGTCAATCTGCATACGCTGGCGACGGCGCTTGTATTCGAGGATGCCTTGAGCCATTGTGGTAACGACGCCATCGTGACGGCGCTTGATTTGGTGCAGAGTCTGAGCGAAACGTTGGTTGTACAGGTGAAGATCGGCGGGCCAGTCGCTCGAGTCGTCAACGATAGCAAAATATCGGCGCGCAGCGGCCTTGGCTTTGCCATTGTCGTTCTGAAGACCACCCCAACCGTCGGCTTCGCCCTCGTCGATAGAGGGATTAGGGGTTGCGGCAGGAAGGCGGAAAGCATTGCGACCGATTGCTTTGCTGGGTTTCATGAGGCGGCTTCGGATATCCGAGGGTAACTGTGGCCGAGGTAGTTGTGTGATTTCCTACCGGTCGAGTTAATACTGCGGGTTTTGGCAATTGACTTCAGAGACGCATACCTCGAACGATTGAGCGTACCAATCTTTGACTTTAATGACAGAGGGCATCTCATTAAGGCCATCTGGAAGCTCGTCGAGCTCTTGCACGCGATGAGCTAGACGGATTGGAAGCTCCTCGGCTAAGAACTGAGAAGCTCGGAATAGGGTTCCTTTCGCAGCCCAAAGTCAATAACTGTGCTCAATGGGCACGGGAACGAGCAAAGACATACCGACTGAAGGTTTCTCGCCGAACTGGACCATCTGGCGCAAGCTGACACCAGTGGCGGGAAACCGAGCATAGTGACGGATAGTATCCATCAGACGCTCTGAAGCTTTCCACGACATGATGGGCAACCGTGGGTCGAATCAGAGAGCGAAAAAGGGTGATAGAATAGAGTGTGACGATGTCGTAGAAAGAGAAATCGGACTCGGAGGCAGACTCGGACGGACGGAGGGAGAGACCGGGTTCCCGCTGCGGAAGAGCGTCCGAGGAAGTTGAAAGGTCGGAGGACAAGCTCACGGCGTCGTCATTGAAGAGTCAAGACGAGAGAAGTCGAGCGACTGTATCGTCCGAGAGAATTGGCGAGTGGGGAAGAGAAAAGAAAGGATGATGTGAGTCGAGGATAAGATACGGAGAGTGGAAGAGCAGTGCAGAGCAGAGTATCAATGATGGATGGCGGCCCCGCGAATGGTAAGGTAAAGAGAGGCGTGCAAATAGCGGGAGAAGCCGAGGCAGTGGCCGGAGAGTGGAGGTACGCAAGGTAAAGGTAAGGCAGATGCTATTCTTCGGTTGGTCTCTCTATCTTGTGCCCTGAACGACGGAGAATTTAAAAAAAAACAATGCTATTACAGTGTCGCGTGAGACAAACCAGGCGCGCACATGAAAATGGAATAACTCGGAGGAGAGTTGAGAGAAGAGACGAGCCAAGGTGGAAGAAGACGGAAGTGCTCGGACGGAACTGAATGAGTACCTATCTAACCTAATGATGATTCCGGGGGGACCATTTCATTCTTCACTTTAAGAATAAGAACGGAACGTCATTCTAGTGGAGGAACTGTCCAATTGCTGCCGTTGTAATCTGAGCTTGCACGGTTGCAAGTGGGATCAAGTATGGGGAAGTATTTCTCTAGACCAGAGGGGTAAATGGCACATGATGGAGAAGCTGCATCACATTCACGGAGACATGGAGCAACTTTTACATATTCAAGCTCGAGACTACGGTCCAAGGGAGTTGATACAGTAAATCAAGCATCTATTGAGGTCCATAATCATGAGTTTTACTCAATAAATATCCATATCATGACTTTGAACCAGCAATTTAACTGAAGCCTGTCATCTACACTTCCCCTCATCACCGCCGGTCTCCGAGCTTTAATGTCGGGGTACGGACCTCTCAGCTCGGCGAAGCCCCGGGCAAGGTCAGGCCACGGAAATGGACTCGCATAAACAACAGACCACTCTGCAAGCCTTTTCTAGTGAATTGTAGGTTTACGGCTATGCTTCTGAGGGAGAAGGGGCCTAAGACCTCGGCCTAGACCTTGGTTATGTGCTCTAGGTGGTGGTGCTATGGTAGATGTGCCAAACCTCAGCTCTCGAAGCAAGGGTCTTGTATTCGACCAGAGTCCTAAAGATTCCGAATTTGAAAAGTTTGTAGAATCGCATATAGCGGTTATAACATGCTACACCGGATGTTCATACGTCAATCCTGATCTGACACTGCTTGGACCAGTATCACGAGGATCTTTGATGCAACATAGCCCCTGCCGGAGGAAACAAGCAAGTCCACGGGTAGAATCTCGATTCAATGCATCATCTTCTCATCTTGGTTAACTTGACTGCAAAGAAGAGCAACTTCCCCAGACTTTGAGCCCAACTTGGTCTGGGGAGATCGCTCTCGAGTCGAACTAACTACCCCACACCTCAGCACAGGCACGCACATCACTGAAGTCTGAACATAGATAGGCCTGGACAGGGAGTGCCTGACCAGATGAGGGTTATCGAGTCCTTATATAGAGCCTCAAGATGGTCAAGCCAGTGTTGTTTTGATGTTTGTCAAGACTTGCGGTTCATGCACGCACTTCCATGTGCTTCGTGGTTGGTGAGATGCCTAGATGGATTGGGTTCCACGATCGTGAACTGATCGAGTCACGTGATACACCGTTTGCAAAGTTCTTCGCTGGAAAAGGGCTGAGACAGAAGCATCATTGATGCCCAGCAACAAAGAAAAAAGGCGCATCGTCCTGAAACCTATGACTGACAACTCAACGAGAGACACTCACAGTTGGGCGTCTAAAACTGAGCTGTAGCAAATGCCAACACGTGAAAAGATGACGTATCTTGATTTCAGTATAATCTGATTGGACCGGACAAAATATGGGTCAGTTCCATCTCCCGTCCCATCATGGCCACAATTCCCCGCCTCAAGGACTAGGAAAATGTTACTGTTACCATACTCGGCCAAAGCCAAACCAACGGCGCCCGTGTCGAAGCCAAACGGGGAGATTTGGTGGCTTCTCTCTATAGTTGAGTTTCTATTCATAACTAGAGTTCATCGTCTTTTTCTCGCTTCTTTCTCGACTACTTTCGCTTGTTCTTTCGCGCCCCTTTCTTACCTGGGTCTCCTCCCTGCACTGCGGCCCACGCGGGGCCCTTAATTTTTCTTTGCGCTGGTCAAGCCCGGCTATTGTTGGTGGACGTCCGGCCTGGCCCTGCGACTGTGGACTGTGGACGTGTCCAGCCTCCCAGGGCGAGTCGAATCGAGTCGGTGAAGCTGGGATCCCTTCCAAGTGCTCCACTCTTGAACACGTCGTTGGCGTTGGTCTCCTTTAGGCCTTTTGAAGCTCTCAAAAGGTAAAGAGTTCGCATTGACTAGACGTGAGACGCGAGGTTGGTGCCGCTATCTATCTTTGACGTCCCGTACCTTGCCTTGCCTTGCCGCTGCCGTTGCCCGAGGTGCTGCCACCACCGCAGAAAAGAATATCAACATAAACACACCACTTTACATCAGATCGATCAAATCATGGATCTCGCTGCTATCGACGAGGATACCGCTGCTGTTCTCGCTGCAGCTGCAGCTGAGGCTGACGAGGCGTCTGCAGTCTCGGATCAGCAATTCATCTTCTCGACGCCGGATCGAAAACAACCTCTCTCAAATTCATCCTCTGCCGCCACTACACCAGCCACCAATTATTTCTCCTACGGAAACCTCAGCAACGGTTATCGCAATGAATTTCGCAATCGATATCACGACGACAATGACTCTGCCCCGGACCAAGACATTCCCGGATTGAGAACACCTTCATTACTCTCCAGCCCGAGTGTGGCTTCAAGTCTCGGATTCTCCACAGGACGGGTGAGTCCTCACAAAAGGGACATCTCTGGCCATTCAAGACTATCTTCAATCAACGATTCACCAAACAACACTTCTCCCTCTGTTCGTCGGACCCACCGCCCGCGAAACAGTCGCGATGTTTTGGCGCAGAGGTTGAGTCAGCTCGCGCATGAGCTCACTTCAGGCGACGATGATTTACTCGACGATAGTGGCGTCGATATTCTCACCGCGCAACTGGATCAGCTGGAGGGCACAAAGATGCTTAAGAAGACCGTCTCATTTTCCTTACCTTCCACACCATCACCGCGGCAAGCGCATCAACGATTGAGCCTGGATATGTGCAGTCCTGGTGAATCAATCTTCAGCACACCAGGTTCCGCGTTCAAGACACGGTTCTCAGATTTGGGAGCATCACTTAGAAGGGATCCTGAACCAATACCGGAGCCAGAACCGGAACCTCCGGCCAACATGGGGATGACTGTTGCTCAGGCCAAGAAGGTTATTCAAGAAGTTACTCAGCTCAACGAGGAGATGTCACAATTGGTCACAAATCTCAAGGCTCGACAAGAAGAGTCTGATGTACGTTTTATTTTCTCCGTTCGACTATCCAAATACTTACATAGCCCGCAGCATATCCAAGGTCTGCTCATCGAGCGTGCCGAACGTGCTGCTCAGCGTATTATCTTTCTTCAAAACCGAATAGCTCATCTGTTAGTTTACCTACGCCTCGTTTCTCAACACCCTTCTAACAAACAACAGCGAGCAAGAATTGCGCGAAAATGACGATGAACTTCAGTATCTCCGCATCTGCCTCAAAGCCGTCGAGATTCAAATGCCAGCACATCCGGACAAAGAACTTCAAAGATGCATATCCTCATTCAAAAAGGATTACCAAGCTCTAAAACGAAAACGTGTCAATCGCTCCAGCATCGCAAGCCTCTCTAGTCTCGGTTCTCCCTATCCCGGCTCTCCGGCATGACATCCGGCTCTCTTAGTTTGCGGATAAAAACACCTATCCGCAACACTCACGAATTATGAAATTCATCTCTCTCATCACTGCGCCGACTCACGCCTTTACGCTTTATGACGTTTCGCTTCCTCTCATACGAAATCGTTCCTACTGTCACATCCTAGCAAGTCACAATTAAAGTAATGGCCTTCACCGCAACTACGTACTGCTCACGCAGCACATCGCGCCATCGTTCACATCAGATACCCTTTCCCGAAGCAAGCACTGTTGTGTTTTCTCAAATTTGCATAAAATCGGTGCATTACGGCATAGCGATCGTTCTTGAAATTTGGCAGCAATGCCCTCAAAATATATTAATGGCACGGTGTTGGTGGAAACTCCATGTCTGGTTTATTGACATTATTACTGTCGGTTTTTTACTGTTTAACAACTCATGATATCAGGCATGAAAAGGGTCACGAGTTTACTTTAGAAGATAGCATCAATGACATGACTGTCCAAGTTAACACATGAGTAATACCTATTGTAGAAGCATTGCGCTATGGACTGACGATAGTGCTTAACCACTGAAACCCACCCTCGTCAAGCAGCATCCCATATCGACGGACCATTGCCTCCGGCTCTTCGTCTTCGCCTACCCGTACCCATCAAGGTCAAGCGTTGATGATATTCAAAAACATGTACACATAAGAAAGCGGTATCACCGTTCCGCTTCCCCGTAGAGCACAGCACTCCTTTGAGCCGCAACATATATCAGCTCGCACGAGACATAACTTGCCACAAACCATCGATCTTTAGATAACACAAACAGTCAGACCACGTGGCTGTAAAACGTAGTAGAAACCATTCTTCTGAAACGATCATCGGAGGGACATAGCACAAGGTAAACGTGCAACGAACGTGGTATTTTCTGACTAGAGCCTCGTTGTTCCACACCAAAAGATCATCGTACACTGTTCAAGCCACCCAAAGATGGAGAAAGAATAACTAATTAATATGAAAAGTATAGGCCATGCGTGTCGTCAATTTGTCATGTAAAGTCGTAAAACCACCCAGAGAATCCAGAGAAATGAGAAAGGAAAAGGAGAAGATCCAGTCCTTGCGCGCAAAAAGGGTCCGATGACTTTTTACAAAGAAGATACCTCCCAAGATTAAGAAAAAATGTAAAGAATATTCATGAAGCTTTTTTGCTTTTCAGTAAGTCGTGCGATAATGTCCACCATCATCTACAACGGCATTCCTCATCGGTCGTTGATTCATTCGTAGGTACTCATCGTAAGTCATGCCACTGGGATCCTTGCCCGTTTCTTCAAAGATCAAGCTTGATCGACGATCAGCATCTCGACGGGGCAGGGTTCTTGGAGTTGCTTCAATCGGCGACTTTGACTTGGGGCTTGAAGAGTATCTATACTCCTTGTCCCGGCTGCGTCGACCGCTGCTGGTGGGATGGCTGTTGCGATGACTGGGCGAGGGTATATCGTAGGCATCGACTGCGTTGGAGCTACTGTCGATGGCAGATGCCGAGTGGCGATAGCGGTTGGATACAGGGCTTCTGGCTCTGTGGCTTGAGCTGGAAGATACAGGAGAATCCTTCGAGGGACGGATGGTGCTGTCTGAACCGACACGGGAGACAAATCGACTGGAGGAGGATAATGGCGACTGTCTGTGGTTATCCTTTGGCCCGCGTCGATACTTCTCGCGTTCTCGATAGTCATCAGGTCTATACCGTCCGGACTTTTCCTCCTTGATCTTGTAAACATCTTCAGAAGAAGTGCGTCTATAGTCAGACTCGTTCTCTTCAGTATGTTTGATCCACCCCGCAATAGCATCAACCACAAGATCATGCGTCTCTCGGTGCCGAGTCGCTGGAAGAAGATGTCGAGAGATCTGCTTCGGTAAGCGCTCGGGCCTGTCATCAACGAGAACGCCATCAGCTGTGATGGGAAGATCGGTCATGATGTGGTTAAGGCGCTTGGCTTCTTGATCGGGGAATGCACGGAGCTGACATGTCATCCAACGCTCGAAACCAGCGGGCGTGAGGGACGGGATATGTGGCATGCCTCCGGGGCGTCTTTGGATCAAGTGGTTCTCACATCGGAGGTGTTGATAGAGTGTTTCTAAATTATCAAGAGCTCCGTGTGGTCGACAGTCAAAGATTTCTGAGAGAGTTAGATGAGATATGGTTTTACAGTGAGTCTACACATACGCTGAAAGGGGAACGTCTCTGTGTCAAGCTTGTATTCGAGATAGAATGCATTTAGCTTTTCCGGAGTGACGACGAGTGAGTTGTGAGGGCTGTATTCCGTGATCTGTTCATGTTAGTTCAGTCACTTCAACACCCCCATCCTGATGACATACCAAATAGTTGGCGATTCCTCGAAGAACCTGACCAAGTCTCTTGGTAGGCTCACCCTTGTCATCGAAAAGTGTACCCCATTTCAGGTCAACAGCTGATAGTGCTGGGCCCTGTTTCACCGGTTCTGGAGGCGGCACAGATCGAGATGTTGGCCGTGGTTCAGGGTGTCGAGGCTCAGGGCCTTCATTCAAGATGATCGGAGCTTTAGAGAATCGTACGCATGGGCGAGGCTTTGGAGCAGGCGGTGAGGACTCTTTGATAGCTGGTTTTGGGGGTGAAGAAGGACGATTGGAGGCACGGGAAGAGGCAGAGTCGGAGATGTAAGACGTGGTAGGACTACCGAGGGAGCTGCGGCTGGAAGAAGGATTGCTGTGAGACTTGCTCTTGGAGTCGAAGGATGAAGAGGCTGATTCATTCTTATTCGGCTCTTCACGAACTGGCTCTCGAGGGGTTGATTCGTGAGAAGCAGGCTTGGCAGGGTGTGATCTGGGGCTTGAAGGTTCTGAGGATGATGGGGTATCTGCTGGTGAGTGCTCTTCAACCACTGTATACGTAGTCGGTTAATGTTAAGATGTAAAGAGAGACTGAAAAGAAAACTTACACTCAGACTTGACTTTTTCAAAGATCTCGTCAAACCATCTGGTCTTCATCTCATCGATGGTCAACTTGCGCACCAGATCTTCAACTTGTTCTTTCGACATATCTGCACTGAGTCTCTTCTTGAGCTGGGACTGAGAGTCGGTTGAGCCGGAAGCAATAGATTCATCATCCTTCTCAGTCGTCTTGACATGAGGTATTTGAATACTCTCCGTCTTCCCCTTGTGCAACCCATCAACATGCCCACCATCCATAGCCAAGGCGGCGATCGGAGACGACGATGGTTCAGCAGAAAGCATGGTAACCTAGCACAGCAGTAGTTGAGGACACATGGAATAAGAGAGAGGAATGAAGTCGAGTGACACGAAGTATTAGAAATAATAAGCAATAACAAAGTGAAGACTAATCATGAATATGCATGTGGAAAAAAGGCAGCGAGAGAGAGAGAGCGGGAGTGAGAGATAAGAGGAGCTGACAGGACAGACTGAGGAGGGACAATGTCGGGCTTATACATGGGAATGGATGCAACGAGACGGATAACAACGTTAGTTTAGTTCTAGCTAGTCAAGACTATCACAGAAACAGAATGACACAAGAAAGAAACAAGACAAGGATCATCGTTCTTCGAAGGCTTCTGTGGGAATGGTTACGCAGCAGCCCTGAGTGAGGCCCCCAGCAGAGACTAATAAGGGTCTCACCCGTGGGAAGACAGGATAGGAAACGCAGTGGGAAGATCGCGTTGCGTGGCCGGGCGAGCTGAAGGTGAATGCTACAGATAACTCACGTCTTATTGCTGTATCATGTTGGGTTGGTGGCAGAGGTGCAGGTCCCTAGATCCCTGCATGTTGGCGTCAGGCTTCCAATATGACATACATGCTTCTGGTTTTTTTACGGCAGCTAATACACTCCATGCTATAACAAGAGGCAATTCTAAATATTTATAGTATATCAATACGAAGAGATCATACAGACCAAAACCCACCTGTAGCTTATAAGTCATGAACATATAATATCAAAACTCCAAGTTTTTCCTCTAAACATGATATCCATCATATTATGGATCACAACTCACAAACAGTCTCGGCTACTC